ACATCGCCGGCGACGTGACTGGCCGCCGGCATATTAGGTGCAGACTCCCCTCCCCCACCCCCTCCCTTGGCGATGGACAACGAGGCCGTTGCGTCACTGGAAGGACTTACAGCGCGGCAGACGAGCCGCCGTTCCGTTACGGAACCAAATCGCCATTTATTTTAATCTTTATTTATTGTCGCGGTTCGGTTTCGGTGCGGGCGCAAGGCGCGGGCCGGGGCCGCGAGGACGTCCGTGCTGCGAGCAGCCCACCGAAGTGGCGCGAAAAAAAAAAACGTCCGCCCCCACGGCTGGTGGACGCTGCCCTCAACGCAGCCCGATCCGGTGGCAATGCCGCTGCATGCTGGCCGTGCTGGCCATGCTGGCGGACCTGGTCCACCGCTGCTGCCGGACGCTGCTGCCGTACCGTCGCCACGCCGTCGCCACGCCGTCGCCACGCCGTCGCCACGCCGTTGTCCGCGGTGACGCCACGCGTATTTGGAGCGAAAGCGGCGGGGCGGGCTCGGCCCTGGCTCGGCCGGCCGAAGGGACCGAAGGCACCGAAGGCGAAGGCAGCCCAACTTGAAATGTCCCCGAGCATCCGCACTCCGACACACGCCCACACCGCGACCGGTAGTGCCGCCCCGAGGCGACCTTCCCGAGTTCAGGTCACTTAAGCATAAAGCAAATAAAGTGACAAATTTCAGGCATCGCATTTCGAAATAAGTTGAGAAGGGAGTGCTGGAGATGCCACTGCGAGAACGGTGCTTCGTCTCTCTGTCACTCTCACACCCATGGCGCATCGCGATGGGGTGCGAGAGAGACAGAGCGACTCGGCACCGCAGCCGCAGTCCGAATCCATCCACCCGCCACTCGCTGGCCAGTGTGTTACCGCACTCTCACCACCACTTGTTTTTTTTATCGCCATTATTTCTCCTCAGGCATCCTCGGCGCGGTCCTTGGTGGCTGTCCCCACTGGGCGTGGCCTGGCGGGGCGGGGCGGGGCGGGGCGCCGCGTCATGAACGCTCAATGAGCAAAGTGATCCGCATTGCCGCTCGGGTTTCCGCCGGTTTCCGGAAAGACTTTCCGGATAGGGACTCTGCGCGGCAACCTGTTCTCTGCTGCCCAGTGGCGTGCCGAGCACGCCTGTACAGTGGAGTGTACGGCAGTACGGCACGCCGAGCGGCCGAGCCTGGCCGAGCCCAAACATGGCGGTAGACCTGCCCAGCCTGCCTGCCTGCCCGGACCCCCGGATGCCGGACACCGGCCCCGGGCCCCGTGCCCCGCCTTCTGGCCCTCTCCGTCGACGCCCTCTTTTCCTCGTCGTCGCCGGCGTCACAGTGGGCCAGAAGACCGGTGGAGGCGGTCAAAACTCCACACGCGCTTTGAGCTCCAGAGTCGCTAAATGGGACTCGAACCGAACGTGTGACCCCACCAATGGATTCCTCGTTCGGAGAGCAATCCATTGGTGGGGTCACACGTTCGGTTCGAGTCCCGCTGTGGCCCTGTTCGACGTCATCGAGGTCCTCTTCGTCGTCGCCGAGGCCGGCCGAGACCCTCTTGGCGTTCTTCCCCGGCGTCGTCATCCATGCGGAAACCAAGCCCGGCGCGAGACTAGACCGCACCGAGCGCGGCGTGGCGGCGTGGCGGCGCCCGTCTCGTTATTCGCAGTGCAGTCCGCATTGGCACCTCAAGCCGTAACGATAAAGCACTGCTGCACTCGCCATTATTCGCAGCTACGGTGAGGCAACCCCTCCCTCCCTTCCCCCCTCGCGTTCCAATCCGATTAATAGCGGCATTGTCTGGGCCGGGGGCCGAATAACACCGCCGAGGGCCTACAGCCGCCTAGAGTCCGCGCCGCGCAGCAATAGCAGGAAGGTGGCTCTGCAAGCTGTGCAGCGCTCTGTCTCTCTCGCACTCCTCCGGCACGCCCCGTGAGAGCGAGAGAGACAGAGCCTGCGGTCGGTACCTGGATTGCCGGCGTCCACTCGCCATCCCCATTCCGGAGGCTGGCGCCGCCGCGCCGCCGGCAGACGGACTCCGAAAGAACGGTTGCGTCTCTGTCGCGCCGACAGGGCGCACAGTGGGCCAGAAGACCGGTGGAGGCGGCCAAAACTCTAGACGCGTTTTGAGGTCCAGAGTCGCTAAGCTGGACTCGAATCGAACGTGTGACCCCACCAATGGATTCCTCGTTCGGAGAGCAATCCATTGATGGGGTCACACGTTCGGTTCGAGTCCTATTTAGCGACTCTGGAGCTCGAAGCGCGTCTGGAGTTTTGGCCGCTTCCACTGGTCTTCTGGCCCACTGTAGGGGCGCGAGAGAGACAGAGGGTTCTTGTGGCGCTGCTTGTCGGAAGGGCGGAGCAGGTCGCAGCGCAAAATTCTTTCGGAAGAACGGATTTTGTTTCTGGCCGGAAGGGGAAATAAGTTTGACGAGTGCAAATTTGTCATTTTTACATCAGGGGGGGGGGCGACTTTAAGCTAAAAGTCGATGAAGTTCGATGTCCTCCAAACAGGATTTTGACGGAATCGCAGGAGGGTCTGTGGATGAATCGGCTGATACGGAAGTCGACTTGAATCATTTATTTTTCGACGACGTAAGGGTCTTATCGTTCAGAGATTCGTCTCTGGGTGGCTGAGTGGAACCCAACTCATCACTTTTGGAAACTGGGAAGATGCCCACGGCATTAGGGGACGGACATTACTGCGCGCGCTCACTCACACACACACACAGACGCACCACACGTACACGCACGCACGCACACACGTGCAGCAACGGACGCCGAGCCGGCCGGCAGGTGAAAGTCACAGCATCTGCAGCCGCACATATCGGAATCTTGAAGATGTTTCTGTAAACACCTGGCCGGCCAGCCCGCCAGCCCCGTCGCGTCAGTTGCGTCCCGGGCCGTCCGTCTGTAAGGCACGAAGCAGTCTCTCTCGCACCTGAGGGGCCGCCCCATGAGTGCGAGTGAGGCAGAGAGCACGAATCAGTCCGCAGAAACACGCCCGTGACCATCACCGAAAGAAAGTCAAATAACCAGGATAACACTTTTGGTGACAGCGAACGCTTCGCCAGTGTCGTGGTTCGCACCGCGTCTGGCTTCAAACTTTGAGGGTGTACTGCCACTGTCCGGACGACGCGTCGCGACGCGGCGGGCATGGGCGGGAGGCGGGCGTCCAGCGCGTCCAGTGGAGTGGCCGGCGACGTGCCGCTGGAATGCGAAAGTCGCACCTCCTCCGCTCCATCCAGGACGCTCCGCGGCTACACCTGCTCGGGAAGTTTATGTGGTGGTCCTCGCGGAGGATTCGGCACGCACTCGCACTCCGTCAGCCTCTCTCTGTCTCTGTCACACTCCAGGCCCGTGCCGAAGGGGAGCGAGAGAGACAGAGCGACGAAGCGCTGTGGGGAATCGCTCGCTCCACAGCCGACCAATGCTTTCGTCTCTGTGTGTGTGTGTGTCTCCGTCGCACGCCGACGGGATTCCGTGCGAGAGCGAGAGAGACAGAGGTAGGCAACCCGCATGCCTCGGCGGCCAATTACGGCGGAGAATGAAGCGGTAAAACAAGGCGACGCGACACAAGGCGCCGTTCGGGGAATGCAAATGGTGCTGAATGGCAGCGGCACGGCACTGTAGGGACAGCCACAGTGTAGGGCGCCGCGGTGCACGGGCCAGCATGGACCGGTGAAAGGAAAGGGAGAGCCGAGATGAAAAAGAGAAGCCAAACGAACGCGTGGGATGAGGACGGGATTTCGGGGCGGTGGGGGAGAGGATGGGGAGAGTAAGAAGAGGAAGGGGAGGGGGTGGGGGAAAGTCCGCCGCAAGGGTTGCAAGGCAGGTTGATCGATGGAGAAACACGGATGACTATTTATCTCATTTATTCCATTTATAATGACAGAACCGCGGAATGTTTTTTTTTTCTGAAAGTGGACGAAGGGTGAGCGAAGAACCTGCTCGGCGATCCTTGTCGAGATGTCGTTTCAAACGTTTCGGCCTTTCGGCCCGGCGCGCGAAATAACACCTTGCCCCTTATTTATGTATTTATGTGGGCAAAGGCAAAAGGGCCCCGGCCTCGCTCGCTGTTTTACGTAACGCCAAAGACGTTTTGGCAGTCCGGCCGAAGGGTGGGGCAGCAGACTCATTCCGACTGGCGTTCTCCGTGTCTCCCTCGCGCCCACACGGGGTCCCATGAGTGCGAGGGAGACAGACAGCGCCGTTCGGAACCGGCCTGCGGGGCGAGACTCAACACCCGAAATCGTACCCCCTTCCCGCAACGCCGCGCCGCGCCGCCCGCAGGTAACTTGGGTCCAACAACACGTCCCGTAACGATCGACGCGGAGCAATGCGGCCGGCAGTCGGAAGAAAGCACGCAAGTCTGCGCGGTGCACTGCCAAACAGTGGCACTCTGTCTTCGTCGCACTCACGAACGCCCAAAGCCGAACAGACTTGAATTGTTTTGCTATTTTTGTGCGTTTATACCTCGTTTAAAAAAATATTTTAGATTGTAGTGTAGTACGTTTTAATTTAGTTCATCCCAATCATGACATTTTCAGATCGGCTTACGAAATATAAACACAAATAATCGATTTTGTCGCTCCATCGCTCCCACCCTTGCGAAACACCCTGTGAGCCCGAGCGAGACAGAGCGACGAAAGAAATGTTGGGGCAGCTAGCTGCAGCCTCCCCTCCCCCTCGCAGGCAGCAGGCCAGCCAGCAGGCAGACACTCACGTCGAATGGGTTGCCTGACTGCCCGGCGTCGTCGTCGTGCTGTGGTGAACGAACACGCCGTTGTGGCGAGCGAAGCGCCAAACGGCAGCTTCTTTCCAGCCGACTCCTAGTGTCGTGAACCGCTAAGGTGCCAGTAAATTCTCCTTTTCCTCTGCAACTGAAATCCAAGAGGTCGATAACAGCGTCGCGGGGAAGTGCTTCCGGCCGCTTTTCGTTTTTCGAGCGGCCGGAAACGCGTTCGTCGCTTGTCGGCGCCGCGGTGCATGCCGGGAGCTCAAGGTCACGTGGACTGCGCCATGCCATCCGCCGGCAGCCATCTTGTCCGCCATTTGTACAATACCCCACACAGGTTGTCAGTAATTTGAACTAGGGAGTACCTTTAAAATTATGTATTGTATATACCTTTTATTATGATCCTGAAGCAAACGTCAACAGTGAGAGCATCATGAGTAACAACAAGCCGCGTTCAAGCAAACCGTATGATCCGAACAATGTAAGTAGCGACGGCAAGAAAAGTACGCGCGAAGACTGAAAATAGAACCCAACCTAAGCCTAACGACCTTTACCGAAGAAATGATGCGTTGTTCCCTTTAATCTCGTCAACACGACCCGCCGCGTCGCAATTCGTGGTCCTTTCCTTCGGCAAGGCCACTGGTAGTGTCCGAACGGGTCGATTTGACGCCCAGTGGTTGGGTTATATTGACATTTCGAAAGCCCGCGTTGCGGGGATGCAAATAAAAAAAACGTGGTGTGTGGCGTCCCTGGGGGCCTCTGAGCCCCGAATTTCCAGTGGAGGGCGCCTGCTTTGGCCGAGTTTGGCGATCGCGCGTCCAGAGAGGTGCTTGACACGGTTTGCAGCGACACAGTCGATCGTTGACGTAAACTGGCGCCAAGGAGCGTCTGCTAACCTCAACTTGCTCACGTCGTCGTACTGGCACCTGTTCGAACCCAGGCGAATTGCCGTTATTTCTGTGAAAAGCACCCTGGTGGGAAGCGAGGCCCGTTTCGCTCTGCAGAAAGAGTTGTCGCGGAGGGGCGTTTTGTTTTTGTTATTGATTGAGCCCCTTTTGTTGTTGTATTGCCTCTGAATGAATCGATTGGCTGAGGTTATGCTCTCGTTGGGGCAGCAGGCACTGCCAGGCAGCCTTGAACAAGGGCGAGACGGAGGCCATCCCTCGGGAAATGTCAAGTTCAGTAGCGCTCTATCGATTCAGCCGTGGCTTCCTTTTTGTCCTTTTGCGACCATTCGTTTGACTCTTAATGTTGTGCAGCTGTTAGTGGTTTAGGTTTGACAGCCAGTCATTGTCATGTCATGTTGATTTTCAAGTTGACCTTTTGTGTGAGACTGAAGTGACTCAATACTCTTTTGTTTTTCTTTTTCCAGAGCTTTGTTAAGAAAGTTGCGTCCCGAGTTTCGGGACTTATTCCCAAATCAACATCATGGTTGTCGGGGTGGTTCTCACCCAACGCTGCTGCTGAGCCGGGAACAAGTGACAGAGTCGAGCAGACAAACAATGAGGAAGAGCACTTTGAAGATGCTCTTGAAAAACCACCTCCTGCCAAGAGGTTTAAGGTGACAGCAAACCAGCAGTATGTTGAGACCTACAACAGATGTCAAACAATAGAGCCCGGTGAGTATTTTAATCCTTTGGCCTATTAACCCAAAGTACAAAGTATTCAGTAGCAATGGTTTTTTTTAGCCTCTTTCAAAATTTATTGTTCATCTCATTATTAATCTGGTATGAAGTGACAGTGAATGTGTTAATATCATATAAATTAAGAAAATTTCCCTAATGAACTGGATGTTTTCTTTCAGGTGAAGGTAGCAGTAGACTTGTTCCAAACAATTTTATTGACACCTCTGCCATTCCGGGTCCCAGTGGCCTAGGAAATCGCGCTGGTTTTGTGGCTTCAACTCCAGCTACCACCTCTGTTGAGCACCTTGAACCTAAAGCCAATGGTGAGGCAATAATTCAATCATGTGTAAAGCTTCTTTGTTTTGTTTTGCTTGATTGTTTAAACATTTGGTACTTGTCATCCTTTCAGGAGATGATTGCTCGGAGAGTGGTGAATCAACCAGTGGTTGCTCCTCTCTGGAACCACAAATCAATAGAGGAATACCTTGTGCCCAGAATCAATCAAGGCAAAATGACTCAATTTCCCCAAGGAAACAACATCTTATTGATGAGAAACTCAATTACAGTCAGTGCTCTTTTCCTTTATTACTTCTAGTCTTTTACTGTCTATTGTGTTATTTTTCAGTTATTAATGTGGTTTTCTTTTTTCTTCTTACAGGCTATTTGCAAAATTCGAGGTCTTTATTTCTTGACCGCACTTCCAACAGTCGGAGTAATCAGACTGTTGGGCGACGCAACAACCCATCCTTTTGTGTCAGTACTTTTGGGACTCCCCTGGTAGGTTCATCCTCTTAATGCTCTTGATACTTGACCTAAAGGTATTTCAGTTTCCAAAATTTGGGAAGTCAATGTTTTACCTTTGATTGCAGTTTGGAGAAAGGGGTAATGTGAATGACCTTATCCTTAACTCCCCTTTTTATTCTGGACGAACTACCTATGGAGGTGCTTCCTCAGCTTCTTACCGCCGGTCACTTGGATCAGCATCCCTCTCATCTTCCCCCGCCAACAGCGAGAAGTTGGCTAGACACACCATCAAGGTATGTCTAATCTCCTTTACAGTAGAGGTTGATGACAGTTGTGGTCACTGACCTAATTCCAAAACTTTGTGTTCTTGTACAGGTGAAACCAGGCAATTCTCAATCCACTGCCGATACCAGCATGAGCCAAACTGCCAAGAGAATTTTAGCTACTCTAGAGCAATTTTCAACCCCTATTTTGGATGCTAAGCGTATCCCTGTCTCTCAAGAGCCAGTTTTGGCAAGTTTGGGGAGTAGGAAACGCACTCGTGCCGATGATTTAGCAAATCCACAGCTTGTTCTAGAGCAGCCACGAGTACCTAAACGCACTTCAAACAAGCCTGTTGTAAGTTATCAAATCAATCATATTATGTGTCACTGCGTGTTATAATTGTACATCATCTTTATTTCTCTTTGATTTTACAGCACTGGGCCAAAGGCGCCCCTAGTACATCTCAATTGACAATTCCCACAGTTCCTGACACATTGATCCATAGAAGACAAAAAGTTTTTCAAGAACCATTCTCAACTGCTACGCAGCCATCCAGTACAAAAGCTGACTCTTATGAACTTAGGTATGTCTTGTTTTCTTTTCAATTATTTTTTTTGTTAAAAGTACTACTTATAACTTACACTAATAGCACCTTTTATGTGCCAACAGGTCTGAAATTGATGACAACAGCGCCACTAGAAACTTGTTAAAAATGAAACAGAAACCACGCCTTACTGAAAAAGTAATCAAGGAGCCTGAAATGGCCCCGGAAGTCAATCTCCCTCAAGTTCCTCTACAAATATCTACTCTTCCTACTTTTGACATCAGTGTACCTGCTCCTAAACCTGATGTACCGAAGACTTCTTCACCATCTGTGTCATCATTTGGATCTAGTAGCTTAAGCAAGCCACAGCCTGCATCCCGTCCGTCAGCGACAGCAGCCAGTTCTCCTGTACTTGCATTCAAGCTCAGTACAGATTCTAATCCAGGATTCAAACTCAGCGCTGATGCGGCAGCTGCATTCAAACTCAGCACTGATGCTGTACTCTCGGATGCATCTTTCTCCTTCTCTTCTCCTATAAGAGTATCAACAGCAAGTAAGGAACAGACAACCCTCACACCTGTCAACAATTTCACCTTTAGCAACCCCTTACCAGCATCTGCCAAGTTTATGGAGTCTTCTAATACTAGTGTCAAACCTCGTCCGAGAACAACTGAAGCATCACCGAGGCAGAGTGATAGTTTCCCTGGCGGTTTGAAGCCAGCATCTCAACTGAAGGCTGGTAGTGTTATGGATATCTTGGGGAAGAGCAAGAGTGATGCCACACCAAGTGCCAATGGAAGTCTTTCACTCATGGACAAATTCAAACCTGCGGCTGGAACGTGGGAATGTGAAAAATGTTTGATTAGAAATAAGAGTGATGTGACAAAGTGTGCTGCTTGTGAGAACCCAAGAGAGGCTAAGACTCCAAATGTGAGTGAATCTACCGAAACCAAGGCGACTCAAGTTATTGCTCCTCTGAAACCCGCATCTGACTTTGGAGCCCAATTCAAGATGGCAGGAGGTATGTGGGAATGTTCAGCCTGTATGGTCAGGAACAAGGATTCTGAAGTCAAGTGTGTGGCTTGCACAACTGCCAAGCCAGGTGCTGCACCACCACCCAAGCCGGCCGCTGCAACTACGAGCTTCTCAGGATGGGGAGACAAATTTAAACCTCCCAGTAATACTTGGGAGTGCAGTGTGTGCATGGTGCGGAATGGTTCAGAGCTTTCTGCTTGCCAGTCATGTAGTACAAAGAAGCCTGGCTCCATTGAAACGACAAGTCCTCCAGTAAAGAGCAGCTGGGGTGATCAGTTCAAAAAGCCAGAAGGCTCTTGGTCGTGTGGTGACTGTATGGTAACAAACAAGTCTACGGATTTAAATTGTGTTGCTTGTTCAGCCAAGAAGCCAGGCTCAGATGCCTCAGCTTCACCTGCCAAACCAAGCTCTCAGTTTAGTTTTGGCATCACACCTTCAAATAATAGTGGATCTGCTGCTCCAGCCTTTTCCTTTGGAATCCCTAAAGACAACAACGAAGGAAGTGAGGGGGAGAAGTCAGGTGTCAGCAGTTCCACAGGTTTCAAATTAGGAGACAGCAAACCAGCTGCGTCTGCTACATTTTCGTTTGGAGTTCCTCCTCCATCTACCTCTGCAAGTGCAAGTCCAGCATCCTCAGGTGCTTCCAGTGGCGTCTCCATGTTCGGCAGTGTGCCTAGTGCAGCATCGACCACTAACCCTGCACCAGTGGAGAAGAAACCAGCAGAGTCGGCAGCACCTGAGGCAGCTAAACCAACCTTTTCATTCGGTGTTCCTGCTGCTTCTGCTGCAAAGCCAACCACATCAATGTTCTCTTTCTCTCCGGCTTCAACTGCTCCTGCCGAAACGACAAAACCCACCAGCAGCACTGGAAGTCCCCTTGGGGGAAAGCGAAAATTGGGTGATGATGCACCAAGCAGTTCAGCCCCATTCAAATTCGGTTCTGGTGGCAGTCCAGCTCCGCAGTCGCAGGCCAAGCCTGTTGTTACAAGTACTTCCTCAGTGTCCTCCACATCCGGTCCAGTTTTTTCGTTTTCATCGGGTTCAAATGCCAGTGCCTTGTTGACAGCCGCCGTTACCAGCACAGCAAACGGTCAGAATGCTGTGGAAGCCAAGAGTGGCACCACCAACAGCCTCTTCGCCGTGGCCGCCCCCGCGTCATCGTCTCCCAAACCGGCCATATCGTTTGGTGCAAGTGCAAATGCAACCAAGGACGAGTCGGTATCAAGTACATGGAAACCACCCTCGCCAAGAAATGCCACCAATGTTGATGGACCCAAGCCAGCCGCTGACACCAACGGGGCTCCCGCCGCAGTCAAGACATTCTCCTTCGGAAGCAACGTTTCTTCAAGTAGTATGGCCTTTGGTGCAAATGCAAGCTCCGCCGCTCCTGCCTTTTCGTTTGGCCCTGGTGCTTCTGATAAGACTGCCGCTACGAGCAAAGCAGCTATCTCTTTCGGTTCAACATCATCATCAGCCACATCCCTCTTCAGTGCACCAGCATCTACTGCACCTTTGTTTGGTTCCGGGTCCAGCACTTCGGCAAGTGCCACACCTGCGTTTGGATCAGCGAACCACGTTGGGTTTGGATCTCTGACCTCTCCAGCAAACCCCGCCCCTGCCTTCCAAGCAACCAACTCTTCAGCACCTAGCTTTAGTGCTCCTGTAGCTTCTGCGTTTAGCTCTTCTTTTAGTGGAGCCTCAGAAGAAAAGAAAGAAGCATTTTCATTCAGTGCTCCCCCAGCCAAGAAGTCTGCTGGGTTTGCTTTCAGTGCACCTGAAGACACCAAGAAAGTCTTCTCCTTTGGCCAAACTGCCTCTGATGATTCAAAGAAGAGTGCTGCTAGTTTTTCGTTCACGGCAGCAGCTCCAAGTGCTGCTCCAAATTCATTCCCTGCTGCGCCCTCTTCGGTGTTCACATTTGGTGCAGCTGCACCTGCTCCTGCCTCCAATGGTCCTGCAAAGCCGGACTTCGCCTTTGGTGGAAACCAGCAACCTTCTTTCCCTAGTTTCAACTCTCAGCCAGCATCTTCAACTGCTGGCTTCAGTTTCGGAGGTGCAACCCCATCTTTTGGAAGTGTGGATGGCAATGCTGCTCCAGCCCCTACCCCATTTGGAGGTGCTGGTTCCTTCAATAGCCCATCATTTGGCACAGCCAGCCCTCAGCCAAGTGGGTTTAACTTTTCTGCGGGAAACTTATCAGGTTTCGGCACACAGGTTGGTGTTTCATTTAACCTTCAATTTTTCTATTTTGGTAGCATTTTAAATACTTAAATTTGTTTTTTTTTTATCTTTTATTCTAGGCCCAACCTGCGTCTGGTGCATTTAATTTTAGTGCGGATCCAAAACCATCATTTTTCTCGTAAGTTCCATTTTAATTTACACATTCTTTTAGTGCCAATGATTGTTTCCCATATTGTCATGACTTCAATTTGATTTCCTTTTGTGTAGAGCAACTCCCTCACAAGATCCATCTGCGGCGCCTGGACCTCGGCGTATCAAACGGGCAACTCGAAGAGTACCTCCTAAATAAAGCATAGGGCTAAACTATGAATCACATCAGCCTTGCTTTATAAGATCTCTTTGAGTGAGAAGATCATCATGCTGTGTCTTTAGTTAGAAAATTTACTGCATTATGCTACTGAATTTCGATTAACTACTGGCATTAACCAGACTGTCTGAAAATATTTGTGATAAATCAACACTGGCTTTTCAAGAACTTCAGGCTCAGTAACTGCTCATAGTACATTAATATTTTACATTTTTTTACTTTGTGTTGAGAGGAGTTTCAGTAAATTACTGAAAGTTATTATATGAAGTACTCAACAGTAGGTATGGTTGTAAAAATGTATCAACTGGATTTAATCAATTATTTTGTGTTTCTGTTTGTGGAAATATTGTGTAATCTTCATGGATATGAATGTGATTTTTGGGACAAACATTTTGACTGTTGTATTATAATACTTGCTTATTGGGTCTGGCAGAGGGGAAATGGCCTCTGTTACGTGTCTTCTGTGAAACACAAGATCCGTTTAGTCATAGTTGCAATTTTCTGAAAATATATTATAGTTTTTAAAGGGTCAACATGTTCTATGAACAAGTTCTCTATCTCTTTGAATTTTTAAATTTGAATCATTTTTACTTGTATACATGGTGTTAAGAAGTTGTGGACTTTTTTTTGTAGCATTTTCAAATCTGACAAAAAAATAATTAAATGTTTCTCCCCTCCAAAATCTGTGATTTTGGGTAACTATCATTTGTATGAATGCCCCAAAAGATAATAAAAGAACTGTGTGTAAGGTATTTGATTTGTTATTTTGATTGTATCCGTTTGGCAAGTACCTCTTCCCATCATTTTCCCCCCAAAAAAATGAAAAAAAAAAAAAATGAGATAGAGCAAAAATGACTTGGTTGAAACTACAGGCTTATGCAAACATCAAAACTCTAACATATGCTATTCAATCCATACAACTGCTCTTATTCTTAATCTTGGGAAATTTGCAGTGTTTAAAGGATGTTCTTCCTTACACATTTTCTGCTCATTCATTCAACGCAAGGAGAAATGCGGATAAAAACTTGGAAACCGAGGGATGCGACTCCAGCTACACCCCTCGTAGGTCGTAGCTCAACGCGACCGCCAGCGCCACCTCCCGTGTAGGTCCTGTACTAATATCGGCAGAGCCAACCCCAAATACACATTCAGTGAAATACCGTTGAAGCAATTGAGCTTCATTCATCAGTGTTTTCCCCCTATCCTAGATAAGTCATCAATTTATAGATGAAAAGTATCCAATCCACCTGTGACAAGAATGGTGAAAGTGTTAGTCATTTCTCTTTTGACGTGAAGTGGTTGTCCAGCATGCAAAATGGAGGAGCCTTTCAACCAATGACGTTCTGTGGTTTCTCTGCCCAATCTCGGCTCACGTCCGCCGTCCACTAAAAGTGACATGGCGTCTGGGAAGATAGTTTGTTCATAAGGAGGCATTAATGTTGTTTTTATGACAACATAGCAACAACCGGGCTATTCATAGCGCCGCCCATATTCTATAGAGACTTGCATTGATGGTAATGCATGCAAGGAAACCGCAAAGGATAAACGATGGGTAGGCTCAAAAAAACATTGCCGATACCGTGACAATACCTAACGCTACAGCCTTTTTGGAGTATTTAGACTACTGCTGTTTTCAAGTATTGCTGAGTGTTACCACGTTGTTGACCCTCTCCAAATGTACTCATTTGATCTGTTCCTCCCGCAGGTACCTCGAAAAACATCCAGCCCATCCGTACCAGGTAAATGGATTGGGGTCGGAGCGTAGGCCTAGCGAAACAAAACCAGCCCCACTTACTGTCACACGATTCTCTTTTTTTCGGCCGGAATGTCGTCATTATTAATCTGTTTTGCTATTGGATCCCAGTGTATACGTTTCTAGTCTGTATTTTCATTGCCTGTCTGCAAACAAGTCGGGCCATTGAGGCCTTGCCCATTGCCTTGTTATGCCTATTGTGTCCAGCTAGCCCAGACAATATTTTTCTTGGCGCCAGCTGGACCCCTCTATATTCCTTTTGCGGTTTAGATTTACAGTGCATCCTGGACCATTTGTCTTGTTCACCGATGTCCAAACATCTCTTTTATTCGGTTCCGGCTTGGAAATGACTCTAAGTAACCTAACCACTCTAACCTCAAAAGTCGTCATCATACCCTTCGTTTCAATTTCGAATCGCAAGTTTACCTTTCGTTTTTTTTTTACATTTTAGGGTTTATTTTCCTCCCAGTAACGTGGCAGGAGTTTTGTCTATTGTCTACCGTCTGATAAGCACACTTTTGCCTGAGTTTGGAATATTACCAGAATTTGCTCTAAACTTGGCTTGCTTTAGCTAGTTAACTATTTACTTCAGTAGCACTTACTATCATTCAAATCAGTTTTGTTGCCATTGTTTGAGGTATGAAGTGTTCTTAACACTCAGTCCTGTTATGTGGTTTCATCTTCACTAGGTCCGCTGTCAATATTATCTTTGGTTCAAGGCTGTTCTTTTCTGAGTCTTTTCTATTTTATTTGGTCTTGAGTAATGTTAGCCCACCCCTATATCCTAATCTCAGGACATGTTCTTAATATTGGTCCTTTAATTTTTTTCAGAATTCGAAGTATAGCGGTTCCAAGTCAAGCTATGGAGATAGGTACAACCATGATAGAATGCGAGACTCCCCTAATGGTAACTCATACCGGTCAGACAGCCCGGACTCTGGAAGTCCCCGTGATCGGGACCGTAGCTACCCAAACAAAAGCTCATTTATTCAGAAAATGCGTGACAAGGAGAGAGAAACCAGAGACTATAAAAATCGAGACAAGTATTCTGGTAAGTGAATTTTCTCTTAAGGTCTGTGTTACAACATAATCAATCTACAATTTGTATCTTAATGTTTTGGTTTCTGTCCCAGACTGTGCCAGATCTCCGAAAGACAAACGGCGTAGGGAGAGCAGGGACTCCGAGCACCGGACCAACCATGATAGGAATAGTACAGAGGTAAATAGAGTGTTACATTGTATGTTTGGTTGTCTTATGCCTGGGAGACTTTCTAAATGATCACCTTTTGTCTTTCAATGTACTTTAATGTCTTCAAAGAGCAGTGAAAGTTGTAACTATCCATTCAAGAAACTCTCCAAGTGAATGTAATACTGTGCCACTTCTTTTGGTTTTATTATTTGCCCTTATATTTATCAACCTTTAAATCATTCCATGATTGATCTTATTTATCCCTGTGGCTCTTTTATTCATTCATTTTGCTTTTGTGAAAGTATTCAATTGGCCACTGAGCACTTAAAGGTTTCGTTCAATGGCTTTGACTTCTCTGCACCTCTTGCACTCTTGTCTTCTGGTGGGGTCTGCGTCCTAATCTCTTTCCATCTCCGTCTTTCAGAAGGTCATCCTTCATTCTAGCAAATTAGCCTCTCACAATTGTTCATCCCGAGACTTGAGGAAACCCTCTTTGATTATAAATGTTGTCCAGGTGAGTTTTTTAAGTTCTTGCTCAGAGTTTTGCAGTTCTTTAGCCAATGTGTGTGTTGTCCTCTTTGATTTAAAATTTTAAATCGACTTCATAGCTTGCACTATTACCCGTTAAAGACGTTAAATTTTGGATAGATAGTTTTTGCATGATTTGACATGATTGTATAAATGCATTTTGAGGTATTAACTATGATAGTAACAAATATGTATTATCAGTAGTCGCCACTAACTACCAATGTTCCAACTTGTTTTATTCTGAAGTGTGGAGGGTGTCTCATGACACGCATCGTAGATCTTTAAACTTAATTGCCTTTTTTGAGTTGGTGAACCTAGGTTGAGCGTGACTTTCTGTTTGCCCTGCCTTGCATCTTCTCATTTCTATCCCCCTTGGCCTCGGCCAACTTGTTGAGTGGCGAGTCCTTTGGTGTACGTGTTTGTTGATGAGCTTTGCTGACGTCTTTTTTGTGTTTGCCTTTCAGGACAAGGACCTTCGGGATCGAGTCCCTCGCGTGGGAGATTGGTCGGAACACTTGTCGTCTTCGGGCAAGAAGTACTACTACAACTGCAAGACGGAAGTGAGCCAGTGGGAGAAGCCCCGCGACTGGGTGGAGCGGGAGCGCGAGCGGGAGCGGGACCGCGAGCGGGACCGGGGATGTGCGGCCAGCAGCAGCAGTAGCAGCAGCAGAGGAGTCAAGGATCGGGACCGGGAGCGAGACCGGGAGAGGGAACGGGAACGGGAGCGAGAGCGGGAGAGAGACCGAGATCGAGAGAGGGACCGAGAGCGAGAGAGAGATCGCGATCGGGACCGTGAGCGGGATGGCGACGCCAGGCTTTACAACAGTGGCAGTTCGGCGAGAGGGGGTGAGGAACCTGCTCTTGATTCGTTGGCGGTTTGTCTTGTGGTTCGTGTTGTTAAAATGAAGGTTTCCTGTTGCAGGTCATGACAAACATTCCAATTCACGATCTTCGGCTATCGGCTCGCGAGAGCAGGCCTCCAAGACCAGACTCCCCGGAGGGGACAAGAGGGAGGCTCTGTACTGGGGAAACCAGGTTCAGACTGTTCGTGACGATATGGAACAGAGAAAGCACCCTGATGGTGAGCGAAAGTTCTATAAAAGTGCGTGCCTTTTTTATTTTTTACCCAACCCTTTTTTATTTGTTTTTAAATGATTTGTTTACTTGATGATTTTACAACTTTGGTTTTATTTTGGAGCTGTGAGGTAATTCTGTATTTTGGTTGCAGGAGATGCTCAGTCTTCTCAGGACATGGACATCTGCTCTGGGGACAGCACCCCGACGTCAGAGACATGTTACTCGCACGCCCATGGGCCCCACAACATGATCCCCACCGTGGTGGACGGCACCACGAGCAACAACAACGGCACCATGGCCGTCCCGGTGCCCATGAACATGCCGCCGGGCAACCTGCACCAGGGCCACCATGGCCATGGCCCCCACCACGGGCCTCACCATGGCCACCAGGGCATGCTCGGGCACCCGGGGCATCCCGGTCACGCGCACCAGGGGCACGGCCACCAGGCGCACGGCCACCAGGGCCACCAAGGCCACCAGGCTCACCAGGGCCACCAGGGACATCAAGGCCACCAGGGCCACCAGGGCCCGGTGCTGCTGGGCAACGCGCTTCCGCGGCTCACCAGCCACCCGCCTCCCTCGCAGCCCTCGCCACCCACGCGCCTGTACCCAGCCGGGCCGCCCCCCGGACTCTCCGGCCTGCCCCCAGGAGTGCCGCCCCCAGGCGTCGGCGTGCCGCCCCCCGGCGTCGGCATCCCCCCGCCGGGAGTGCCGCCCCCAGGCGTGAGCATTCCCCCGCCGCCCGGAGTGCCCGGAGTGCCGCCCCCGTCGGGGCCCCCTTGCCCGCCCGGAGTGCACCCGCCCGGCGCGCCGCCCGGCATGCCCCCGGGAATGCAGCCAGGCGTGCCCCCGCCCCCTTGTGTAGGAGTGCCTCCAGGAGTGCCCCCTGTAGTAGCAGTCTCGACAGGCTCTGCTATTCCAGTCATTTCGTCGACCCCCCCTGCAGTCTTGTCACCATGTAACCCACCAGTGACTTTATCTAGCATCCCTCATATTCTGTCACAAATGACTCAAAGTCAAGAGTCGACTCCCAAGAAGAGTCTCCAATCTATTCAGACTATGTTATCAACACAGTCATCAGCATCAGGACCTGGGCAGGCTCCAGGAACAGGGCCTGACGTGCCCCTAGTGGTGGACACATCACATTCAGGAATCGGAGATGGACCTCCTACCCCCACACATTCGGAGAATCAAGATTGTGTGGATACTAGGAAGCGTGAGTGTTTGTCTTTAGCTGTCTATTTGTTTCATCTCTTCCATTCATTCATTTCTTGACCTACTTCCCATTTCTCTCTTTTTCAGTCATCCCTCTTGTTCCAGTGTCCAGTCCGCCTAGCAGTTTGAGTACACTTCAGACTCTGTCCCAAAGCAGTTCTCTGCAAGCCCTGCGTCCGCAGGGAGTTAGCCTTACTCCTAGCTTAGCCAATCACTACAGAGATGACCTGGTAAATCATGTAAGAGGGTGGCCCGCTGAGCTGCTTGAAAAACAGGTACACACTATTTTTTTAATCTTTATTATTTATTTTTGTTGAAATGTGGAGTCTACTAGTTTAATCTGAATATGAACTATTTTAAACTCTTTTTATCTTTTTTTCTCACAGGCGCAAAAGTTTAGTGAGGATGCACACTCACTAGGCAGTCTTCAGTGCACACGTGTGTCTGCTGAGTTAAAGTCAGCACGCTCTATTGTTAGGTTAACTGAAATTCAAGCAACTTTACAAGAACAGAGGTGTGTAACACGTTTATTTCTTTCATAGAATGTTTTAAAAATTGTTTTACGCCGTTAATGTTGTTCTACCCCTTTCATTGTTTCAGAGTACTCTGTATTCGTCAGCAAATTCAGTATCTAGAAGAACTGAGATCACAGCACTCTTTCATGGCAGACAATGGTTAACACTTGATGTTAATAATGTAAATGCTGTGTCTGCTGCAGCATGGCTTGGTCCTGTTTGGTCCGGTTAGGGTAAGCCATCAACTTCCGTACAATTTTAATCACACACTCTACTGTGAATTTATTGTAGACTCAGTGCTGATGCTGAGTTTGTTGCAAGGACCAAAGCCTTTTCTTGAATTCGCTCTGGGCAATATATTGTAAGTGGCTGATTCTAACTTAGTTGCTGGGTCAATCGGCCAAAGTTTCTTAATAGCAAATTTTCTCACTAGGACATTTTCTCATTAGCTGAATTATTAAGTTAATTATCGTCTAATTCGACTTAATTCAATTCGGCTCAAGAATATTTTTCCGTCTGATTGAGCTGTTTGTTTTACATAGTGCCTGAATTTGGGTTACGTAATGCAATTGAATATTTGCACGTGAGAAATGTTGCCTGGATACTTTTTCTGTGAGTTATTACTGGTATTTTGTTTCTTGCATTGTAACTTATGAGCAGCCTAATATGTAACTCGTGCAAACTCTCCACCTTCCTGAAAATTTTATTGTAAATAAAGGTTGTAACACTGCCGATATGCTTTGAGATTGCATACCTACTGGATGTGGCGGAAGGCACAGGGCTTTTCCCTGTGTTGCCACTTAATAACAAAGATGACCCTGAAAAGTAGTATCTTGTGATATACCGCTTCCTTCAGTTAGTGTTTTACTGGCTTTTCAATTTGTAAAGGCGTTGTCTTGTGTTAAAATTTATAACAATATTTTTCTTTTTACTTGATGTGTTTGTAGATAAACAATCTACTCACATATGTTTCATAGTAACTTTCCTTTCAGACAGCTTTATTCAATCCAATTATTTGATCATATATTTTTTTTATTATTTTACTTGACATTCTTTGGGAAGATATTGTGCTTGGCGTTTGAACTACTTCGTTGATTTACTAAAATTTTGAAATACACTGTGATTTCTACGATAAACATTGCTGTAAATCTTATATGTTGTCTTTTGTGTCAGAAGCTGAGGTATACCGGAATCGGACCTAGAAACAAGCTGGGGCTGTTGCTGACCCACATTTTAAATCAGTTAGCTTTTGTACATATAATTACTAAAATTAATATTATTGACTGGGCTTCTCAAGTTTTCGATGAATTGTTCATTCTTCATTCCTTTTCTGTGAGTTGTTAAAACCTTTTGAAAATTCTCATCTTAGGCACAATTGATTGATGCAAACAGCAGATTCTAAGACTGTGGGCTTCCAATCAGCTGTGTCTTGAATGCTACCTCTACCTAAATGAAAATTACATGCAAACTGTCAGCATGTATGACAAATCGTAATTACTAGTTTTTATATTAGAAAATGTAATAATTGTCAAGCAGTTCGCAGGCTGCTTGAGAAGTCCAATGGTTTGTATGTGATGTGATCTGGAGGATCTGGAGGACCAGCAGAGAGTGGAGTTTTTGTGTGGAAACATGCTTGAGAGTGTACCAGCCAATTTTCTTGATGACAAGACTTATTGAAACAAATCTAATCCAATGGATCAGACTGGTGCAACTAAACAAATATTTCTATGTATCAGACTGGTGCAATCATCAATTTGTTTTGTAGAAGTTTTTTCTTTTAGCTGTGTGTAGATGTTTATTGTCAGAGGTGTGTATGGCTGTGAGAATGTTTTAGCTGCTACCAACTCCATATTAAATTTTGATTGTGCATATAAATTTTTGGTAAGGACATTGACAGATCTAAGATTCTCATGATGCACTGGTGTTTTTGTGAAACCAGCCTAAATTACAGTAATTTCGGAGCAGCACTGTGTTGTACCGTACTGAGCCGCTCAGCATGTGGGAGCTCCCCAATAAACACATACTTCACCTGATGTTTGTTTTATTTATTTCACATTCATTTCTAACATAGACATAAGCCGTAAACAAGACATTACAGTATTAACATACTTTGATACTGCTTTAGCAGCAGAAGACATCAAGGGCTGCCAATTTTATTCTATCTGTAGCCTTAAGCAATTGCCCACATTATTAGAGGGTTTCACATTCGATTCTTTTATTTCATCCTTTCAATATCAAAAATTCTCAAACATTCTAAGGCAAGCAGTACAAGTAGGCGGTATATTATTTGTACAATATTGATAAACACAATAGAGTGTGGTTAGTTGCTCAAGCAGCAACAACTGCTGTGCACCACAAGGACATTTGCTATGCAACCGTGTCATATTTTTCTCATCAGATCACATTCATAGGATACAGGGATGAAAGTGTCAGTGTATGAAAATAGTTGCGTTCTTCCTTACAAATATCCTTCCCACCCCCTTCTTACTTACTACACCACAAGTAAAGATGTGGATACAAAAAGGAATACAAAAGTACATTCTGATCTTAGGAGGGACACATTCAGTACAAGACAGATACAGTACTAAGATAGGTAACATTTGCCAGTTTTTCTTTCAGGCAAGGAATTCAAGAGGCTTTGTTAATACATTAAGGGCTGAACAAAGCAGACTTCTTCATGATAAAATTAATTTACTTAAATAAAATACAGTAACCAGCCACAAAGTTGATGAATTTAACTTTTGTATTAGAAGTTCTCATATCATCTTTGACTTAAAAGTCACAGTCTCTTTTCACTTTGAGGCATGTGATTGTATTCTCACTTCTCAAAGTTGCTCCGACCTTTTTTTTGTTTTGTGACTCGTAGAAATTGAAGAAATTGCTTTTGTTTTTTAAATTTATAAACTTAACTTTTTCTTTCATTCAGTCAAACCATAAGGAAAATCATTAGCTCAGTTTGTACAGTGAAAAATTCTAATGATAGATGTACGTACTTACAAGAACTATCAGTTACAGCTACACACACAATCAGAATAAGTATAATTTACAGAACTAAAATCTACAGGTCATCCAGCTTTGTGGATGGATAGGGAGAGACACTAACTGCAGTAATGGGAATGGTCATTTTCACTAAACTGGGTCTAATGTCAGTTCATAACAAATTATTTCTCATAATTTGTTCTCGGATGGAATGAATCTTAAGTCTTGAAGAAAATGTTTTAGACCTATTCACAGATACAAATGGTATACTCTTGGAATAGCTTTTAAAATGCAGATCAATAAGATGTATCTTTTTTCTTTACATTGGATAACTTTGTTGATACAGTAATTTTATGAATGCAAATTGGATGCATGTAACATTCAAATAAACTACAATGTAACACTACACATTGAGATTGGCACCAAGAGATGCAGTTCTTGCTTGATCTTTGGCCTCTATTAAACCACGACTCTCAACTTAAGTACTGCATTATTATGTCCACATTTTGTGTGGAAACACCTCAAAGTTTGTACAAGTACCTCATATGGTAACTTATTACCTGGAATGGACTATGACACATACGCTTGCAGCACCAGGACAGTCGATAGCATAAGCTTCAGGCTTATTTTATAATATACACACAATGAGCCATGACTTTGCAGTCATAGGAGGGACAATCAATCAAAGTCTTTCCAAATTTGTTGGTCTTCCCCGTCATATGACTAAGCTCACAGATACTAGAGATCACTCGTTTCGCTTTGGATTCACTCTCTGTTTCGTTCCAGTCCACCACACTGGAACACCACGACCCAAATACTCTGAACAATTTGTTTTCCATTTTTTTCATCCCGATTTAAACAAGATTTTTAACAAAGCATGCCTTGAAGTAAGGAAACCAAAACAAAATCCTGTTTTTTTTTAAAATCCACCATAACTTCCCAAGCTAAGTAAGGGCTCGTGAAATGGGAACCAAATGGAAAACATGGTTCAAAGACTGGACCCCTCCAAGATGTTGGCCTTCCTTTAGGACGCTCACAGCTGCTCACAGCTCGTACACCTCCCTGCCGTTGGCGCGCTGGGGCCGCGCCGCCCCCATGCCGGGCGTGCGCTTGGCCGTGGGCTTGGACACGGCCTGGCCGGCGCGCTGCGGCGACGTGTAGGAGTACATGTTGTACCCGGGGATGATGTGGACGCGCACGTCGCCGGTGGGCCGCGAGGCGTCCACGGCGCGCGGCCGCCTGGACACGGCCACCGTCGTCTTGCAGCAGCAGTAGTGGAACAGGTTGATGTAGGCGTTGCGGAAGTGGCGGTTGGTCACGCAGTACAGGAAGTTGTTGAGGCAGGACTTGCTGAGCGCGAACCACGCCAAGTGGTACAGCACGCGCGGCGAGACGGTGTTGATGGACTTGACCTCCAGCACCATGCCGAACGGGGTCCAGAAGATCTGTCGGGCAGCAAGCATTGTTTCGACATCTCGCACACCAACAAGGTTGCTGCAAAACTTCCCCCGATCCATTATAGTCGCGCACTGGACTCACCACGAAGCAGATGAAGGACAGGAAGTTGGTCTTCATGAGGGAGTAGTCCCAGGAGAAGGTGACGGGCGGCTTGAAGCTGGGCGGCAGTTTGGCCGAGTTGACGCGCACCAGGATGACGATGAAGCAGAGCAGGGTGACGGCCAGCGGCACCGCCACCAGCATCACCACCACCGTCATCTGGTAGGGCAGCAGCCCGGCGAACCTGCAGCGGGCAGAGTCAGCGTTTCAAAATCGCGCAGGAAACGTGCGTCTTTGAGGTCGAAACCCGAGGACTTCTGCGGGTAGTTCCGCAGTGAAAATGTTGAATGGATGCCCCCGCCGATAAACTTGCAGTGAGAATCAACAGTGCGCCGGGCGAGCGGCGAGCGCAGCGAGAGAAAGCGCCTGCGGTCGGCGACATAGGCAGCACGCCACACTGCCGCGTCGCGAACCCCACCGGCTGCCTACCCAGCCATTACCATTACCACTACAGGCCAGACCGCAGCGCTCCGCCACGCTCCGCGCTCGCCGGCAGCCGATTGCCTCTGCATCTCGCGTCATTTTTCTGACAGTGTGGTGTTTAAAGAGAGTGCGTACTTGCGGTGGCAGTAGTCGGGCCCGATGGGCAGGAAAGTCTGCAGGCCCACCACCGTGGCGCTCACGGCCCAGATGAGCACCATGAGGACGGAGATCTTGACGGGCGTCACCACCTCGTACCAGCTGGGCGGCAGGCACAGCCGCATCAGGTTCTCCACCGCGATGGCCGAGAACGTCAACACCGTCACCTGCCAACAAAACAGTTTTTTTGTGGTGTCTTTGTTTTTGCGTGGGAGTTAATGGTACGAGAAAAACAAGAAGAAAAACAACGTACGAGACAGCAGAGCACGCTGACGATCCAGTGGAAGCTGCACGCCGTCTGCGTGTCGCGCATGCCGGCCAGGATGACGACGGCCGAGGCGGGGAACACCAGCCCCGTGATGAGCAGGTCGGCCAGCGCCACGTTGGCGATCAGCGAGTTGCCTGGGGCACGAGGAGGGCGTCAGTGTGTGTGTGTGTGTGTGTGTGTGTGTGTGTGTGTGTGTGTGTGTGTGTGTTGTGTGTGTGTGTGTGTGTGTGTGTGTGTGTGTGTGTGTGTGGTGTGTGGTGTGTTGTGTGTGTGACCGGGCATCACGGTCCGTGCGTGGTCCCCGCTCATCGAATAGAGTGCACATGGCTGAGCCCTGAGCCGGAGGGCACGCAGGGACTACGGGGCCCTCCCGAGAGCTCTCCCGGGGGCTCTCCCGCGGGGTCCTCAGAGGGCCACTGGAGGCCGCAAGGGCCGGCCGGCTCGTCCGTGGGCCCTTATTCCGACACGTTAGGTAGAGCCAGGGCCGTGGAAAGCACGCGACCAGTTACCTCCCACCCACCTACCTGTCGTCACCCCTTGCCTCCCCCTCCGCTGCCTCTCTCCTATCGCCACCCAATCACGTGACTACCTCTCGTCGGCGTCCAGAGAGCTTAAAAGACCCTCACGGAGGGCAAGGCTTGCGACAGAGACAGACGACTGGAGTCATTTAGTTTTTAATCGCGCGACGTTACCCGTCACTATCTGTCTCTCTCACTCATGGGAGAGAGAGAGAGAGAGCGGCCTACCTCGCTGCTTGAGGTGGTCCTCGATGAGGATGGAGCTGATGAGGAACACGTTGCCGATGGAGCCCACGATGGCCATGGCGGCGAGCAGCAGCAGGCGCGCCATCTCGCTCCAGCGCGCGTCCAGCGTCACGGGGGACACGTCCTCGTCGAAGACGCCGGCCGACGCGCCCAGCGACACGCCCGGCAGCCTGGTGGGCGCCAGCCTCGGCGCCAGCGTCACCAGCGACATGTTGGTGAGCGTCATGGCGGTGGTGGCGGCGGCGGCCTCGATGGTGGCGGCCGGGGCGGACCTGCAACCACCAGCAACGCGACGAGGCGGCGTCAAACAGCGGCCCAGCCGACGTCGCTCTGTCTCCGTCGCTCCCCTGGGCCGTGCCGCGGGGCCGCGGGGGTGCGAGAGAGACAGAGCCACGACGCACATCAGTCTTCATGAGGGCGGCGGGCGCGGCGCCGCTCTGCCGAGGCTCTGCCGAGGCTCTGCCGCCCGCCCACGCTCAAAGTAGTGGGACGCACTAAAAACACCAGTTTGATTTCGGCGCGGGAAACCGCCACGCCCTACCGACGCACTGAAGTTGGTGCTGAGGCAGCGGGTCTTTTTCAGGCCAAGTCGTTTGGGCAGGTCAGTCTCGGCCAACTGACGTTTCTTCTAATTTCCATCCTATCGGCCACCGGGGCGAGATAGTCTAGCCGACGAAAATGTTTGCCACCCGTTGGCCAGCAAGTCTAACCTCTCTCTCTTTCTCTCCGTTTGTTCTTCCTCCTCCTCCCTGGAATCGCATATCATCCTCGAGGAATGGTCCATTCCCCCGGCCAAGCCAGTAAATACCGTACGAGAGGAAAAGAGGGTCTGCCGCCGAGCGGCGGTGCGGCGCGGCCCAAGCTTCCAAGGTTACGACCCGCCAAGAGACCTCTTCGTCCTCCCCCCCGCCCCCTCCCCCTCCCCCCGCCGTCCGTCCAGCGAGTTTCATTGTCCGCAAGAACGGCGGCGCCGGCCGTGGAAATGGCGCGAAAAATGATCGGACGAATTTTCAAGGAGGGAGCGAGATGGAGGGGGGAGGGGGGGGGGCGCTCTCGCAGGCTGATTCCGTCCAGTGCACCTTCCTCTCGTCGCTCTGTCTCTCTCGCGCTCCAGTTTGGGTGCGAGGAGGGAGACAGAAGACGACTCTCTGCCTTGCCCGTCGCCTTTTCGCTCTTCTTTGGCGGGGAACTGGGTCCCACTCTGGGTCCCGGACTGGGTCGGTCGCACTGCACGCTCGGCCGCACGGGCGCGGCAGGGCGCGCTTTCACTTCAAAGACCGGACTGAAGGTGGGCCAGACTGGATGGGGCGCTCTGTCTCTGTCGCACTCACGGGCCGTCCGGGTGCGAGAGAGACGGAGCGTGATCGAGACGCACTGGATAACGAGGTCCGGGAAGGCGAGGCAGCGAGGCGAAGGGAAGGTCCGTGCCGGCAGTGCTGTCTCTCTGTCTCTCTCGCGCCCGCAGTACACAGGCAAATGTGCGTCGAGTGACGAGATGCTCCAATTAACCGGCCGTTCCGTTGTTCTCTCTCCGAGGTCTGGCAGAGTTTCCGAGTGGCAATGACGCACTACTTCGCGTTGCGCTCCATCTCTTCCCCCCTTTTTCCCCGGTGCGGTGACCTTAAATAAACCGCGGATTGGCGCGTGGTGCGTTGCGTTTCGTCGCTCTGTCTCTGTCGCACTCGCGGGGCGCGGGGCGTACCGCAGGGGTGCGAGAGAGACAGAGCGACGCGGCCGCTCGCTGACCGGACACGGGGCTATCTAACGCCCGCCAACGCCACCTCCCCCCTCCCCTTCCTTCAGGAAGCGGCCTCGTGACATGCGACTCGAGTGGCTGGGTGGCCTTGGCGGCCTGGGCGACCTTGGGATGACCTTGGTCTCGGCTAATTGGTCGCCACCACTGCGAAGCGAGCCAAGCAAGGCTGGTGACGTCATCGGGGCGTGGCGTGGACCGCCAAGGACCGCGCCTCGGCAATTACGGCGCATTATGTAGTGCTAGTGCACTGTAAAAAAAAGTCGACTAAAACTTATCTAAGTGTTTACATGCTGTTTAGCATGCTGCTCCATTGTGCCAATAAGAAAATCAGCCGAACAATGGCGCTCCACTCGGTGTATTTTTTCCTTTTTCTTTGAGGGAGCGCCCGGCGAGCGCCGAGAAACGGAAACCAAACCTTTGTAAACTTGACTGTATCGCGTTTCTTTCGGGCCCCTGACCCCTGACCCCTGGCGGCCCAGTGCCGCCCAGTCCGAGCAGCCAGCCTCTGGCAAAGCGCGGCCAATCAGGGAAATGCGGAACGCGAAATGGCCGCGTCGAGTTTGATTAAAGGCGATGTTTTTTGACAGTGTCGGTGCATTTCGCTCTGCGACCTCTCTGCTGTGCTAATGGATTGCTTCGCTCTGTCTCTCTCCGTCCCTTAGGGGGCACCCCCTGAGTGCGAGAGAGAGAGAGAGAGAGAGCGCTGTGCAGTGTGGTGCGGTGCGACGTTCGTGTCTCAGTGGCGGATCTGGATTCAAGGGAAAGGGGGGAGGGGGGATGGTTGGAGCCGTGCACAACAACAGAGAGTATGATTGGATTGAATGATGTGGATGGCGAGGCTGTGATTGGCCGAGCCGCAGTCCCAACACGGCCGGCTTTGGGATGGACACGGAGTGCAGCCTGGTGCAGCCGGGGTCGTTGATGCTGCTCGCTGCACTGGGATAAAGCCAACCCTCGACCCGCACGCTCTTCAGAGCCCCCCCTTCCACCGGCACACTGGCACCCCCACTCCGGTCCGTCCATCTTCTTGCAAAGTGAAGAGCGTCGCTGTGTCTGGCTTGGCCGGGCTGGGCCGGGCTTGGCCCTGCTAGTGCCCGGCCCTCGCTGGGCCGATGGCTGCAGGGATTATCGCCTGGCTCGATCAACACACAGGCCGACCCCTCGCTCCAAATCCCCGAAGGGCGTGCAGGCCGATTCCGAACACTCGTCGCTCTGTCTCTCTCGCACTCATGGGGCGTCCCGTAAGGGTGCGAGAGAGACAGCCACACAAGCAGTGCTCGGCTACTGGAGGGCCTGGAGGGTCCGAAGGCTGGGGGGACGCCATGGACGCGCACGGCCTGCAGATGGGCAGATGGCGCGGCCGGGCCGGCAACGGATGGACAGCCGCACCGAGAGCACTGGCAGTGTGAGAGACAGACCAGCGAGGCTGCAGACAGATAGGTGGTCGACTTGTTGTGTGCATCAGGTCGGACGTGGAGGATTCGCACTGCAGTCGGACATGCAGCGGCGCTGCCGGAACACATCGCTCTGTCTCTCTCGAACTCGGGGGGTGTGGCTTAGGGTGCGAGAGAGACGCAACGACGAGGGCGTCACACCCGATAGGGCCGCCCAACGCCCCGGCCAGGTTGCGACTGCCACAATGGAGTTGGAGCTATCGCCCCCGGCGAGCCTCCGCCCCCGCCCCCGCCCCGGGCCGGTCCAGAGTGGTGTCCAGAGTGGTGCCGACGGCTAGCCTGGGCCGGGGGCAGCTTGGGGCAGCTTGGGGCAGCTTGGGACGGCCTAGAGTAGGTGCGGTCGCTGTAGCGTATCGTCCCTCGGGCCATAAGGAGACAGGGGTGGGTAAGCGGCGCTTTAGGGGCAAGGGGGCTGTGCCAGGCGTGCTGTGCGTTGTAATTCCGATGGAGGGGATGGAGTTACAGCAACAATGCCCTGCGGCCCCAGCGGCTCGTACGGCCACGCAAGGCGGCCGCGGTGGGGTAGGTCAGGTGTCCCTCAGGGCCTCGGGGGGTGGCGGGCGTGGCGGGCGTGGCGAGCCGCCCTACGCGCTGCTCCACGCACAGCGAACCGGTTCGCTCCGGTCCGGAAAGAGAGTTTTTGCGGACGTGGGGGAGCGAGGGAGAGAGAAGGGGTGAGGAACATGGTGGTTGAACCGGATAGGTTAGAATAAAGTGGCGCGGGGGCCGCCGCGACCTCGTGACGTATTTTGTGACGTGCTTCGTGACGCACTTTGCGGACAAGGGGCGATTTATCTGCAGCAATCGCGCGTTGCGCGAGGAAGACCGCCTTATCTGGCGCCGCCGAGTGGCTTTTTGTCTCCAGCCAATCTCGGCGAGATGTCACAGACCCCGCCCCGTCCGCGCGCTCCAAAGAAGGAGGCGCCGCGCTGCCGCGCAAGAAAAGCGCGTCGCGCCCGTCAGCCAATCACAGCGACGGATTCATTGGCGCGGATTTTGAAACTGATTTACTGCAAAGTTTGGCAGCGCGGGCCTGGCCTCGGCCTGCCTGCCTGTCCGGCCGCTCGGCGACACGCCCACGGCCTTGTTGACTGGCTGGAGGCTGCTGGAGGCTGCTGGAGGCTGTCTGGGCAACACGGAGCCAGCTAGGCCGCTAGGCCGCTGGGGAGGGGCAGCAGGGAACCAGGGCGAGTGGACGTTTTAATATGGAAAGTAGCGACTCGGTGGCTCGGTGCACCGAACCTGTCTGCCTCCCCACCCCGAACGCCCTCTAAGCTAATCTCGCCTGATTCCAACTCAAACACATAACCCAAGGACTTGTTGGCCCTGCCGAGGAGCGGACCGGCGCGCCCGGGCGTCCCTCCCACGCCGAGCCGCCCAGGCAGGCAGGCAGGCAGGCGGTTCGCCGAGGAAGGGCCGCGGTTTTAGACCGCCTTTTACTTGGAAATGAGCTGTGTTTAATTACGGGCCTGGCGGTCTAGGTGGGCGGGGCGGGGCGGGGTGGGGCGGGGCGGGGCGGGGCGGGGCGGGGCGGGGCGGGGCGGGGCGGGGCGGCCGTCGCGGCCCTTGCCCTACAAGCGCCGCTCGACAGATGCCTCGCCTCTTTGGTGTCGCCATTTGCATATCGTTGCGGCCATTTTCTCGTCCGTTACCTCATTGCCCTTTTCCGCTTTCTGGCGTGCTCACAGTGGAGTGACGGACAGCCCGGGCGTGTTGCTAGGGGGTGTGGGGCGTGGCGGGGCGTGGCGGGGCCCAGCCCTACGTGTGTGCACGTCGCAGGCCGTGCCCGGCTACGCTAGGCTACGCCACGCACGGCGCGGTTGAGGAAGTTTGGGGTTAGGCCGAGCCGTAGGCCGACGGGGAAATGCCTGGAGGATGTACAAGCCCCTACACCAGTTGCTCGCGAGCTCGTGCCCTATCCCTGGAGCGGCCTACCCCACCCCGCCCCGCCCCGGGGCCCGTCATCACCACCCACCCCGTGTTCCTCCCCGTTGCCATGGCAACGGCCACCCCGAG